CAATAAGTTTGGTATAAAAAATGTAGATTATAATTCAAATTTTAGTACTATACATTCCTCAATTTCTTAATATAAAAGTAAATAATTAAAAAAAAACAGATAAACATTGAATTTTGTGTGTCACGTGGTATTTTGAATGTAGCATTGGTTCAAACTAGATGTTTGTGAAGTCAAAATACTACGCCTATAGTTTTGAACGAATTAGAAACTCAAATTACTGATATTGGGAAGCTAGAATATAAAATAAGAGCCTCTTATCTATTCAAGTTGCTAAGATATTGTTCATGTAATAAATCAAACACAGTGGGATCCCACCCACCTCTTTCCATTTTTGGAAATGATCCCTTATATACACTTACTTCTATATATAACAAGAATAAACAATTGGAAGCTCAGAAAGTCCCCTTAGTGACTTTTTCAGCCATTTTAATGGGTTTGGATATCATTTCTTTCTTCTGAACCAAGATTTCAATGAGATAGTGTGTATCTATAGTCTGGTCAAAATTTACATTTTAATTAGTGAGCTTGAAAAATTATAGTGGAATTCTATGGTGGTGTTGTAGTAATTTATGATATATTAGTTATTCAATTGTATATATAAAATCTGAAAACATTATTTTGTTTCATATCCTCCACATAAAAATTTTTAAAGGCTTAGCAACTTGAGTCAAGCAGCAACCAAGTACAAAGGTCATAACTAGAAGCGATAATTGTTTGCTCTACTTCTTTATTTACTGTTCTATGTTTTAAGAAAATTAAGTTTAAGAACTTATTTCCAAATGGCAATATGTATATACATATATAATATATAATAATTGAAATGTGACTGTATTTTACAAAATACTAGTCTACTAAAACACAACCAAGACAAGTTACTTTGTAAAGACCAAAGGTCATCTTTATGTTATTTGATATGGTAACATGAATGCACGTGAGCTGCGTCTTTCTAACTTCTGTATTGTTAGACAGGCGCACAGGAAAGGTCAATATGACAAAAATAATGAATACATATAAATGTATAATGTTATGAGATTTAAGCTAATTAGCCTAAACATTTATGTTTTTGTGTTAAATTTGTGTCCTTTGTAGAATGAAAGAGGCATAATTTATATTTATTTCCTAATTTTTTATACTGGTTACAAGATCGGTCAAACCTACTGAACTCGTACAGAGATTAATTACTGAAAATAACAGATAAAATATAGTGTTTTCATAACGAAATGTTTGATAACTATCTGGACATTATAAATATTTTGCATATGAAATTTCAAAATTTTTTGATGCATGTATCTTAAAATGAATATTACTTTGCATGATAGATAGACAATATGCGAAAAGAAAAAAAGACATGAGAAAAACATTGCTTTACAAACCTTAATATTTAATATAAAAAAATTATATTTTGCATATGAAAGCATTGTAATGTTCAGTTATAATCTGCCAAGTTTCATAAACATTCGCTTACTAATTTAAAAAGTGATAGCATGAAAACTATAACAAGTACAAAATGGTTAGGAGGTCGGTCCGAGGGATCGAGCCTGTGCTGAAGGAGTTAATCTGGCTTAACCTTATGATATATTATTGGAATTATATCTAAAATCAGTGTTGACACAGTACAGTTTAATCATTAAGTCTTAGTTTTCTTATGTATTGATTTATAACATTATGTACTTCTAATCAGTTTGTTATATAGGACTCATGTCGTTAACTTATAAGGTACTTTTTAGTTATTAAAGATTAGAATTTTCTACCAATCGGTGAATTTCTGAGTTTTTTTTTATTTTGTCCAGGATTGTTGTCAAAATTTCCTATCATCTGGGGAGTAGGTTTTTCTGTTTTTGACTTTGGAGGGAGAGGGGTTAATAATTTATGGCCTAATTTATCATTCCAGTTAATCATATAGCCCCCAGTGCCATTTTTAAATTCCTTTCTCTGTATTGTATGGCATTACATTCAAATGTTATTGAAACATTTTCCCATCAGTATATATCAGTGAAATTAACATTATTGTTGAACAAATTTCCTATCATCTGGGGAGAAGGTTTTTCTGTTTTTGACTTTGGAGGGAGAGGGGTTAATAATTTATGGCCTATTTATCATTCCAGTTAATCATATATCCCCCAGTGCCATTTTTAAATTCCTTTCTCTGTATGGTACTTCATTAACAATACAGTTAACAATTGTTTTAAAGGACACATTTTAAAAAATGCTTAAACTTCTGTTTTTGTGTCACGTGATCCATAAGCTATGAAAATTATCTGCTTTAGCAGCAGTTCACTTTTAGCCACATAAACTGGCAATGTACATGAGTATCTAAATACTACTGTACATGTGTTTGACCTATTTGGGAATTCCAAAGTCTGTAGCGGCTTTGTCTGGGAAAGAGATATAAATTTTCCAACCCTTGATGGTTGCCATGCCCACCTTCTATACTTTGCCTTGAGATCTACAACATAAATGTAGTTAGTTAACACAAGTGTATATAGTCGTTAGAAAGAGCTCAGTTTACACATTACTACACCAACAGTTAATTTAAAATTGGCATGCAGTTTTCCTCGCAGTGTACATGTAACTGCCATTAGTATTGTTGTGTGCATAATCGACTATAGCACTTGCAGTGGTTTTTTACCTAAGTATGCTATAGTTAGAGAGACAGTTAAATTGTAATTAGATCTTAGTTTTATATTTTAGTTAATAATGTATTATTTGTGTTTTACAAATCATATTTGAAAGGTTTAATTATTTTTATAAGTTTGATTTGTTGTTGCCTGGATTGTGAAAGTGTATAAACAAGATGGTGTCATTAAACAATTTCATCCACTAGTTTTATATTTGGAACAAAATATTTAACGACAGAGACATTATCTGCCAAGAATCTTGGCAGCTGGGTCTTATAGGGTTAAACATGCTCAAAATATAGATTTTATAAACAAATGCTGCCATATTTCTATGCCACACAACAACAACCTATTCTCTACACTTATGTATTGTATATATGATTACCAACTTTTTTGCCCAAACACAATGTAGTTGATAAAGTTTTCTGAACTTTCAAAAGGGCCCATTTAATGTGTTTTTCATTGATACAATATCTTTTCTTAGTATTCCACAAAGTTGATAATTATTTTATTACCTATTGAACTGACACTTATATGGCACATGTAATCAGATGAAATTGTAATTGTACCTCTACAATAAACAGATGCCATGTAACTAGGAGGTGAATGAAATTTTACTAACTTCAAATAATGGTGAAAAAAAATAATTGCCAAATACTGTATGTTGTTGCCATCAAAAATATAAGATTGCAAATTGTGATTTTGGTGAAGCCTGGAACAGCCCCTGAGAAGTAGGTTTAACAGCACCAAAGCAGCTAAGAATCTACTACATGACCTATGTTATCTTATAAGGATATTAGTTAAACCACATTATTTTTTCACTCAGTCTAACTTAGATGTAGATATCATATAGTTTGATGAGCAGTGTAAACTAGCTGTTACTTGCCACTTGTTGCACTGAGTTCACTAGCTTGCTTATTAATGTTGAAAAAAATCAGTTCTTTTGATGTTATTTTTATAACTGACAATTTATATTCCTTCATCTTTTCAAATTTTCAAAGTGTGCTCTTACATTTGAAGATGGTCTGAAATATCACCTAATAAAAATGATTTTACTTGCAATATTTCATCTTTTCAATTTTTTTCCATCATTATTAGATAAGACTGCAAAAAGCTAAAGCAGCTGAAATGTAAGTGAAACCAGATAGTTAAGTTGTATCAGCAGGGATGTAAATATGAACAAAACAGCAGTAAAAGGATTGCAGTTTAAATTTAATTACAAAATAAGTTACATCACAGCATGTTGTATCTCACGTGGACTATGTTGCAATAATTTTATGATCAGTGAATGTGACTCCTAGAAAAGTGAAATAAAAAACAAGAAGCATTTGATAATTATTCATCATTTTAATTTTAGACATAATTTATGAAACTCTTTTCAGAATTAATTGCTGCTGTTAACAATATTAAAATGCTGTTAGCGATTTTTTCATAATAAGGAAAGTGACACTGCCACAGAAGTATGTATGTATATATATGTGTGTATGTAGATGCGTATGTGTGTGTGTATATACACACAAAAATTAAATAAATAATAAAAGATGAATTTTTTTTTTACTTTCAGAAAGTTGGTAGAACATGAAATGTTTTCCAAAAATGATAAACTTCCTGAACGTCATAACCTTTGCTTTTTTCCAACAATCCACGACATTCAAAATCACGTATTTGAGGCTCTAAAGGATATCCGCACTGGAGAACTACCACTTCTTGTACCCAGTGTAAGTAATGAAAATTACAAATACAGTATGATATTTGAGTTATCTTCTTTTTTTTTATAAATCTCTCTGAAAACATTGCTTAATACAAGAATAGAACAGTTGTAGTTGATTTATGTCACATAACCTGATTTGAAAGTTATATCTTCATCCACCTATTATGACAACTAAATATTTTTTTATTATGTTTCCAAAAGAAGTGGAGATTCAGATAATATGATGGTGAGCTTTTTGTCACAGCCTGTAAAGAAATGTTGAAAGATGTGAGATGTAATCCCTACACAAGACTTTAGATGTTTGTTTTTACATGTGCAGCTGGACAGTGTATTATTGATTCTACAACTCCAATCCACAGTGAGGTCAAAGGAGTGAAAAATTACTCAAGATCTGTTACCAAAAGAAAAGTCTATATGTACAAGTTTGAGATGTAGATATAAATCTAAAGTAAACACTACAGCAATAATTTTTCAGTTTGTTTTATAGTTAAAGGCAGTAATCAAAAAAGTAAATAACCTTTATATTTTGGATACTCTGAAGAAACTCCAAAGATAACGTATATAATCACTACTTATTAGATATTCATAAATATATATGCAATGGGCTGATTTACCTCACTTAGCAGTAGATTAACTACCTGAAACTTAATATTTTTGTACATTTAGCACAGCATTTTTACTCTCGCATTAATCTATGAATGTATAATTCAAACTTATCTAGATACATTATTAGAACCCATTCATAATAAGGTATTGAAGAATCTAGCTTGCTATATGGACAGTTTATTATATCATAGCCAACCTCTAACCTTTCAAGCAACAGCTTCAGAACCCATGAGTGAAAAGTTCACATTACTGTTATTTAAGAAAAAAATAAAAAAGATCGCACTCCAAATAATCTACAAATTGGTCTGCACTATGGATGGAGCCACTGATTTTACATTTCAGCATTGTGTTATGTTTATTCTATCCTAAACATAAGCTACAATTACAAGTTCAAAATTGTTTAAAGAGAACTAAAGGTAATAGTCCAACTGAAAAGAAGAAACATGCAAACAATGTTTCATGAGGCACACACGTGAGCAGCTGGTAGTAGCTCGTGGGTAATGTAATTCGTTAGCGTAACATGAGCTGCACGTTCCCCAAATGATCTACAACTTATAACGGTGCGAATAGTATTTAGACACGGTTCAAAGGGCAGTAAAACAATAAAATTTAGTTATAAATAGATGTATACTGTTACAAACTTAGAACTACTTAGGATAAATGAATGCAGTTTCATGTTACAATTTGAAGTTATTCTAGAAAGAAAAAAGGGTAATTTAGATTTATTTTGTCTTATTTTTTGGTGGTCATTAGGTCAGTCAAATTAATCGATTCCTTTTTGAGATAGGGTAGAGAAAATAACAGATAAACTATAAAGTTTTACTGAAAAAAACTTTTGAAATGCATTTAGGAGGTTTTATTTATTACACAAAGGAAATTTGAGATGAGGAAAAGTATTTTTAATTTTAATATAAAAATTACTTTGCACATGGACAATTCAAAATAAATACTCAATATATTCATGAACAAATCTTTATTTTATTTTATTAAAAATACTTCATTAAAAATAAAAAAATTGTTTTTTATATAATACTTCAAGATTGCCAAATTTTGTGAAAATATACATTCTAAATTAAAAGTTAGAACTATTAAATCTATAAAGACTTTAAATGAGTACAAGGGGGT